TAAGACGATGTAATTATGTTTTCTTATTTTAAGTGTAAATTGTCTTGTTCCATTGGCAAAATGTCTCTTTTACCTCCTCAATCCAAGAACAAAAGCACTTATTTTAAGAAAAAATTACTTATCTAGATTTAGATGTTTTGCAGCTGTTTCTGAAATGCTCTTTTTTTCTTTAGGGATTCCTGATCAGTTGGAGCAGAAGCCAGTCCTGCTTCCCCTGACTCCCAGTGATGAACTGGATGACAGCAGTTTAGAGCTGAGCGCTTTAGGAAACTACAGCAGGAACTCCTGGTTTGATCCTCCAACCTACTCACACCTGCTGCCTCAGAATCCTGTAGAAGACTTTTCCAAAGGAACACATGCTAACGTCGACGCTACAGCCTTCAGCATGGAGCTGTTAGCTCCAGATGTCCCCTCCTTTAGCTCTGATCTAACTAACGGTTATAGCCGAGCTTCGGAGCGGAACGATTTAAACCAACAGCTTGACTTCGCATCATTCAGTGTCTTGGATGAGATAGAAGCAGACAGTCTTTCCGGTCAAATAAGCAACTTCTTGGAGGATTTTAACATCTTGGAGGACATGAGCCTTTTGGACGAAGCACTGGGGGAAGGATTTAGTCCGGACATGGAGGCCAGACTTAAAGCAGAAGGCTACCTGCAGAGTGAAGGAGCAGATCGGGGCTCTGCCACAGGCTGGAACTGGATGGAAGATCAGAGGCAACCTGACGCACACAAAGGTAATCTATGAGGGAAGACTTTCAAAAGCGTATTTTCCTCTGTTACAATGAAATGTTGAATATTCATATTCATTCTGTGCAATTTAGCTGCAAATAGACAATCCAAAATAAGTCGCGTTCACTCCGAAAGCATTTTCACCATCAAACGCTTCATCTTGGTCACCTCTGCACTGCGGATATTCAGACATCTAGAGCGCTTTTGATGCCTCTACATTCTGTAGCACAGTGCATGTTCTCTCCGTGCATGCCTGGAGTCTCTCCGGGTACTCCGGCTTCCTCCCACAGTCCAAACACATAACTTTTCTAAATTGCCCTTAGGTGTGAGTGTGCATGGTTGAGTGTCTTTGTATGAGTGTTGCCCTGTAACAGACTGGCGACACGTCCAGGGTGTTTCTCACCCCTCACCCATAGACTGTCGCAGATAGTCACCAGCCCCAGCGTGACCCTGACAGGACTAAAAAGGAGAAGATGGATGGGCGTCTTTAAAGGAATAGTACACCCAAAACATGATTAGCCTTCATTTTCTACTCACCCCCATGCTGACCAACACTCTGGAGTA